ATCGAAGATTAGATGGCTATAGGTCTGTAGGTTCATTTCTGGGTTTTCAATTCTATTCCATTGGTCCTGAGGTCTGTTCTTATGCCAATACCAAGCTGTTTTGATTACTATGGCTTTATAGTAGAGTTTGAAATTTGGTATTGATATTCCTCCAGCAGTGTTCTTTCCGTTGAGGAGCGTTTTTGCTATTCGGGGTCTTTTATTGCTCCATATGAATTTTTGGATTGCCTCTTCTATTTCCTTGAAGAATGAGGGTGGAATTTTGACAGGTATTGCGTTGAATTTGTAGATAGCCTTGGGAAGTATTGCCATTTTCACGATGTTAATCTTTCCAATCCAGGAGCATGGGAGGTTTTGCCATTTTTTAAGTTCTGTGTTAATTTCCTTTTTCAAGATTTTAAAGTTTTCATCATAGAGGTCCTTTACTTCTTTAGTTAAGTTAATTCCTAGGTATTTTATTTTTTGTGGGGCTATTACAAATGGAGTTGCTTTCCTAATTTCAGCCACATTGTTGGCATACAGAAAAGCCATTGATTTTTGGGGGTTAATTTTATAACCTGCTACTTTGCCAAAGTTTTGAATCAGCTTGAGTAATTTGGGAGTGGAGTCTATGGGATTCTTTAAATACAAGATCATGTCATCTGCAAAGAGGGAGAGTTTTATTTCTTCTTTCCCTATTTGGATCCCCTTTATGTCTGCATCGTGTCTTATTGCTGTAGCTAGGCATTCTAATACTAGATTGAAGAGAAGTGGAGAAAGTGGGCATCCTTGTCTTGTTCCTGAGTTAAGAGGAAATGGCTTTAGTTTTTCACCATTGAGTATAATGCTGGCTGGAGGTTTGTCATATACAGCCTTTATTGTATTGAAGAATGTTCCATGGATTCCTAATTTTTCCAGAACCTTCATCATAAAGGGGTGTTGGATCTTGTCGAATGCTTTTTCTGCGTCTATTGAGATAACCATGTGGGTCTTATTCTTGCTCCTGTTGATGTGATGAATAATATTAATTGATTTGCATATATTGAACCAGCTTTGCATCCCTGAAATGAATCCTGTTTGATCGTGGTGTATGATTTTTTGGATGAATTGTTGAAGTCGATTGGCCAGAATTTTGTTGAGAAGTTTTGCATCAATGTTCATCAAAGAAATGGGTCTATAGTTCTCTTTCTTTGATGAGTCCCTGCCTGATTTTGGGATGAGGGTTATGATGGCTTCATAGAATGTGTTCGGTAGTGAGCTTTCTCTTTCAATTTCATTGAAGAGTTGGAGGAGAATTGGTGTGAGCTCTGCTTTGAAGGCCTTGTAAAATTCCGCTGTAAAACCATCTGGTCCTGGACTTTTCTTAGCTGGGAGGTCTCTTATTGCTGTTTCTATTTCAATGCTTGATATGGGCCTGTTAAGATAGTTTAACTCATCTTGGTTTGGTTTTGGCATGTCAATATTTGCTAGGAAGAGGTCCATTTCTGTCAAGTTCTCAAACTTATTAGCATAAAGTTTTGAGAAGTATTCCCTTATAATGTTCTGAATCTTGGTTGTTTCCATGGTGATGTTTCCATTCTCATCTCTGAGTTTATTAATTTGGGTGTGTTCTCTTCTTTTTCTGATAAGATTTGCTAAGGGTCTGTCAATTTTGTTAAGTTTTTCGAAGAACCAACTCTTTGTTTTGTTGATTCTTTCTATAGTTTTTTTGGATTCTAATTCATTTAATTCTGATTTAATTTTGATTATTTCTTTCCGTCTACTGGATTGGGGTTTATCTTGCTGCTCTTTTTCAAGGAGGTTTAGCTGTGTCATTAAATTGTTAGTTTCAGATCTCTCCAATTTGTTGATGTAGGAGCTCAGAGCTATAAACTTGCCTCTGAGTACTGCCTTTGCTGTGTCCCAGAGGAGCTGGCAATTTGTGTGTTCATTTTCGTTGAACAGCAATAACATTTGAATTTCCTTTCTAATCTCTTCCATGACCCACTCATGATTCAGCAGTGTGTTGTTCAGCCTCCATGTGATACCGGACTTTCTTTGGTGGCTTTTGGTGTTGAGTTCTAATTTTATTCCCTTGTGGTCAGAGAGAATGCAAGGTATAACTTCAATGTTTCTGAATTTAGACAAGTTTGCTTTGTGGCCTAAAATGTGGTCTATTTTAGAAAACGTTCCATGTGCTGCTGAGAAAAACGTGTATTCTGATGCTGCTGGGTGAAATGTTCGGTAGATGTCTGTTAAGTCTATTTGATCTATGCAGCTGTTTAGATCTGCGGTTTCTCTGTTGAGTTTTTGCCAAGTTGATCTATCTAGTGGGGAGAAACATACTTTTTTATTAATTCAAATTCCTTTTCCTCATATGTTATATATTTTAATTTTCCCAAACCTCTTGTAAAAATGTTGTTATCCCTTTGGGCTGGGAATGTGGCTTAGTGGTAGAGTGCTTGTATAGCAGGCATGAAGCCCTGGGCTCAATTCCTCAGTACCACATATATAGAAAAAAACAGAAGTAGTGCTGTGGCTCAGGTGGTAGAGTACTAGCTTTGAGCAAAAGAAGCTCAGGGACAGTGCTCAGCCCTGGAGTTCAAATCCCAAGACTGGTGAAAAAGTGTTACCTCATTTTATTAACGAGGAAGCTGTATCTGAAAAGGATACACAATTTGCTGTGTTTATACATTAGAGCAATAGGAGACAGTGCTGGAATTGAATCCAGGTCCTCCAGCCTTCAAGGGCATTTTTGGAACACTTTTTGTAGGATCGTATGTAGACCAAAAAAAAAAATAGTGCCAAGTCCTAAGTGTGTAAAATGGTGACTCAGTGAAAATAGGTGGGTTTTGTTTTTGTTTTCCTTTTTTTCTGGTTCTGGGGCTTGAACTCAGGGTGTGGGGACTGTCCCTGGGCCTCTTTGTGCTCCAGGGTAGCACTCCATCACTTAAGTCTCAGCACCACTTCTGGCCTTTTTTGAGTAGTTCGTTGGAGATAAGAATCTCATGGGGACTTTTCTGCCCGCACTGACTTTGAACCACGATCCTCAGATCCCAAACTCCTGAGTAGGTAGGATTATAGGCATGAGTCATGGGCTCCCAGCTTGAAAATAGTTTTATAAGAAGAATCCACATCAAATAACAGACCCTGCACCCAGAAATTTCCCCTTTCTGCCTCCTTCTAACCACTTATGCACAGAGTGAAATCACTCACTTGGTTTTTAATAGCATAAGTGGAATATGATATAGTCTTGTAGGATCATGCCTATGAATGAATTATGTTCTGTAAGGCTTATTTTTAGTGAGATTCATCCATAATTTTATCCAGTTTGTAGTTTATTATCCTTGCTATTGTAATCTTCCATCCTGTGACTATAATATACTGCAATATATTTATCTACTCTATTCTAAGAGAATTATATTGTAATCTAGGGATATCTTTAGCAAATGAGTAGCAAATGTAAACTATGTGTCATGTTTAGGTTTATGCTTCAGATTGGCTGAGGTCCTTTATCTAATTATTCAACTAAATAGTAATCTAAGTGTTTCAAAGAAGGTCTTTTGTAAATGTGATTAACATCTACATCCAGCTGACTTTTAACAATGGAGTGTTCACCTTTATAATCCAAGTGGACCTCATCTCATCAGTTGAAAGGTTTTGAGAGCACAACTCTGATTTCCCTGAGAATGAAAAAGTTCTCCCATTGGTTTGTACTCTCTGCTCCAACCTAAGAGTTTGCCCCCATAGGTTGTAGGTTTGCCCAGTCAGCCCATATACATGCTAATGCCTTGAAGTATGTATCTTACTATTGCTCTGTCTTTGTTAGAATCTGTACTGATACACTGAGTTACATCTGTGACATTCACTATGTCTCAGAAGAATGAACTCAGGGTTTTTGCAAAAACACGGATGAATGTTAAATGCGTTTTACTGAGTGAAAGAAGTAAGTCCACTTGACACTATGAAATTGGCAGAACTACATGGAAGGAAATAGACTGGTGATTGTCAGGAGCTGGAGAGGGCCATGGGTATGAAAAGACCATGTGAGAACATTTTTAGGCTAATAAAAGTGTATGTATGTGGGCTGGGAAGGTGGCTCAGTGGTAGAGTGCTTGCCTTGCATGCATGAGGCCCTGGATTCGATTCCTCACCACCACATGAGCAGAAAAAAGCCAGAAGTGGTGCTGTGGCTCAAGTGGTAGGGCGCTAGCCTTGAGCTGAAGAGCTGAGGGACAGCGCCCAGGCCCAGAGTTCAGACTCTATGACCAACATAAAAGGTGTATGTATGCTATAAACCAGTAAATGAAAATGCTTTTGTTGAAATCCATGAAACAATATACCAAAATAAAGGAAATTTTAGTGTTTGCATATTTTTTGAAAAATCAACCAAGGAATGATTAAAATCCCAAACATGGAAAAGACCAAATTCTGAGAAGGATATGAAAGAACGTAAACTCGCAAACGTTGCTGGTAGGACTGTGTGATTAGACAAACAAAATGCAATGTACTTTTCTCATACAATTCAGCCACCATACCCTTAAGATACTTAACCCAAACGAGTTGAAAATTTATGTCCTCACAAAGCCTTATGCATGGATGTTTATAGTATCTTTATTGCCAAAACTTGTAAGCAATCAAAATGTCTTTCCATAGGCGAATGGATAAACTGGAATACAGCCAGACAATTGAATATTGTTTACTGCTAAAACGAAATGAGTAATCAAGCCATGGAAAAAAATGCAGAAAACTTAAATGCATATCACTAAGTGATGGAAACCAATCTGAATAGGCTACCTGCTGTGTAATTCTAAGTATATGATATCTGGAAAATGAAAACTATGGAAATGATAACTGAATCCATAGTTGTTAAAGTTCGAGAAGGAAGGAAGGGCAGACAGATAATGCACATTGGGTGGTGAGACTCCTCTGTATGAAGATGTATGCTCTTCCAGATTTTTTCAAACACCAAGGGTAAACACCAATTATGAACTTTGGGTAACAATGATGTGTCCATGTAAATCCATCAGTTGTAACAAGAGTAGGACTTTGGTGGCAATAGTGGTAAAAGGAGAGGCTATGCCTGGCTAGGAGTAAGAATACAGGGAAACTGTACTTCCTGCTCAATTTGCTGTGAACTTCAAAGAATAAAATAATGAAAAAACTATTACTTGAAAGAAGTCAAGTAGAATGTCAGAGGAATACAGACTGTGGAAATAATGTTATAAATGGCTGAGGTAACCTTCACAAAAGGAAGAGGGGACAAATGAATTGACAAAATCGGAAAGCTGTGTTTTCTCTTTGATATTGCAAGGTGATATCAGAGCACTATACATGAATATTCTCTTCTAGTTATCCACATTGTTTGTTATGGTGACACAGATCAACAATTCTGAAATGGCTTCATATGTCTTATAGTTAAACAAACAATGCAGTTAATCTTGTACAGGTAGATAGTGATAGTCAAGTTTTCACAGTCAGTGACAGACATTACAATCAGAAAAAGAAGAATGCTAAAATAAACCCGGTGCCAGTGATTCATGCCTGTAATCCTAGCTACTCAGGAGACTGAGATCTGAGCAAGACCAGGCAGGAAAGTCTGTGAGACTCAATTCCAATTAGCTACCAAAAAGTCAAAAGTGGAGCTGTGGCTGAAGTGGTAAAGTGCTAGCTTTGAGTGAAAAAAGCTCAGGGACAGTGCGCAGGCTCTGAGTTCAAGCCCCAGGACAGGCATACACACGCGCGCGCACACACACACACACACACACACACAGAAAAAAAGCCATACTAAGTTGGAGTTGGACACACCATTAAGGTATATTATTATTAGGTTTATATTTATGTGGAGATACAAATGCAGAAATATAGATGTATACAATACTGATTGTGGTATACATAAAAATATGTCCATAGAAACTGAGAGCCCCCAAAACCACCTAGTATCCTTTAGGTCCAGATCTTCTTTTCTAACTATCTTTTTTTTAGTAAAAGGACTGCTTAGAACAATGACAGTAAAATACATGGCAGGCTGTGGTCATCATACAGTGTAAGAAAGAGCTAAAAATAAACACAAGAAGCTCAAGAAGACCAGATGAAAGACAGGAAGCAGAGAAGACAGAAAGGAAGGGAGAAAGGGCGGGAAAGAGGATGTAAATGGTCACAGGAGCCAACCTGAAAGAACTAATGGCTAAAGCTGCAACAATCTGAGCAGCAAAGGGAATGACAGCAATTGATTATACATAACCCAAGGAAAAAAATAAATATGCATGAGTCCTTACTGATGTCAATAAATGATTGATAGATTGAATGAATACTTGGAGGAAAAGTGACATCTCTTCATTACAGAAGAATTCCACATAATACATGCAAATTCCCACTTCTTCAAAAGGTACAAGCTCATTCTCATTCCCTGATGTGTGAACTGGACCTAGTCAATCTCCTCCAAAAAATTAGAAACTTCACAGAAAACAGATGTCTGAACCAAGTGATCAAATTTAATATTACCATTGATAACTCACATTAATACTCCCTAATATGATACAATTTGAATGTGAGGTTACTCCTGTGTGTGTGTGTGTGTGTGTGTGTGTGCGTGCGCGCGCGTGCATACACATTAGCACTGAGGCTTGTACTCAAGAGCCTCGCATTCTTGCTTGGCTTTTTCAAACTCACGGATGGTGCTTTACTTCTTGAGCCATGCTTCAAGTTCCAGCTTTTGGCTGGCTATTTGGATCTTAACAATCTCTCAGACTTGTCTTCCTGGGCTGGCTTCAAACCATTATCCTCAGATTACAGCCTCTTGAGTGGCTAGGATTACAGGCATGAGCCAGTGGTGCTTAGTGATACTATTCTTTAAAATAACCCATCATCTCAATATAATCATGAGAAATATCAGTCAAGCCCAAATTGATGGTCATTTTACAAAATGTATGACCTGTACTCTTCCAAACTGTCAAGGTCATAAAAACAAGGACACATGAAGAAACTCTCATAGGCTAGAGAAAACTAAGGACACATAACAAGTTAAGGTGGTGCGGTATATTGTAATGAAACCTGGAACAGCAAAGGAGGTTTAGTGAGAGATTAAAATAGAATATGCTGTTTTGTTCATAGCAAAGTTGCATGATAGTCTTTCAATTTTGATAACTACACCATGGTTAGTGAAAGGTATTTAGTCCAAGTTAGTTCAGGTTTGTGGGAACTCTTTGTACTATTTTGGCAACTTTTTTTGTAAATCTAAAATCATTTGTGGATGAAAATATTATTATTATTATTATTGTCTCTAAGTTATTGTACCAAGAAGCTTCAATTCAACTTGTAAGTTTGTTTGTATAGTGCATCTTGATCAGTGGCATCCCTTGCATCATTCTCCTCCATCTTTCCCAACCCCATGCATCCCAATTTACCTGATTCCATTTTCTCATTCGTACATTGAATATTATGATGGCATTCTCCTACCTTTCCTCTCTTCATTTGTCTACCCCATATCCCCTGGTCCCTCTGGTACAACACATGTTCCAGCTTCTTGGAATTCATTTTGTTGAACTAGGTTAGTTGTTCAAAGGAGTTACACCATTAGAATACTCACCTGAGTATGTCAAACTTTAGTCAATGAGTTTATGTGTGTGTATTTATATATGAGCCTGCCTATGTTTTCATATATGTTTATAATTTAGATCTAACTTTCACATATGAGAGAATGATGACAGCTTTAAAATGAAATAAAGATTTGTGTATGCATACCTATATTAATAAAACATACATATAAATATATAAAATATATATACATATATTCAAATATATATTTATCACCAAAAGAGATGTTTAAAGGAAGCAGGAGAAACTGTTCAGTCATTTGTCATCAGTAAAATGCAAATCCAAACCCCAGTGGCAGGTGACCTCAAATTCACTAAGATAAAAGTAACCACCCACCAGTCAGTGGTGCACACATTTAACACTCACTACTCCAGACTCTGAGATTTGAGGACCACAGTTTGAAACCAGCCTGGAAAGGAAAGTCTATGAGTCTCTTATCTCCAATTAACCAGCAAAAAGCTGGAAATGGAGATGTGGCTTAAATAGCAGAGTACCAGTCTTACCTAAGGGACTGCAGTCAGGTCCAGTGTTCAAGCCCCAGAACTGGCACACACACACACACACACACAAAGCCAGGCAACAATAAATGCTGGTAAGAATGTAGGGAAATTGGAACCCTGCTACACTGCTGATGTGAAGAACAAACTAAAGATGAAATTACTGTATGAATCACAAATTCCACTCCCCAGTGTTTGTCAAGATAACATAGTATTATGACTGAGCTTCTTTTGCTTTTCTATAATTAAGAGTTAGGGACTTAGTACCAACCATATACACACTATCTGGAGCCTAAGGAAGCAGAGGTATTTCTTAGGTTTCTGGTTTTAGATGAGAGATGTGCCTTCCTTTTTCTTTGGTAGTACTGGAGTTTGAACTCGGGGCTTATGCTTTCTAGGTAAGCACTCTGCTACTTGAGTCACACCTCTAGCCCTTCTTAGCTTTAGTGTTTCTGTTTTGTTTTGTTTTGTTGTCCCTTGAGGGGCCTAAACTCTGGGTCTGGGCGCTGTCCCTTAGCTCTTCAGCTCAAGGCGAGCACTCTACCACTTGAGCCACAGCAACACTTCCAGCTTTTTTTCGCTTATGTGGTGCTGAGGAATCAAACCCAGGGCCTCAAGCATGCTAGGCAAGCACTCTACCACTGAGCCACCTTCCCAACCCCAGCTTTAGTTATTTTTGGGGTAGGATCTCATGCTTTTTTTTTCCTGGAACTGGCATCAAACTAGGATCTCCTACCATAGACTACCACATTTAGCTGATTTATTGAGATAGGGTCTCACTAAGTTTTTGACTCGGCTTAAACTGCTTTCCTCCTGATCTGTACCTCTGAGTAGCAGGGACTACAGGTATGCACTACTATAGTCATCCCAAGAGTCCATTGGAGGTGGGAAGGACTAGAGAAGGAACTAAGTTTTGAGAGAATGGAACCCAGGAATTTTGTTTGTGGTGGTTAAGTCAGAGATATCTTTACAAAACTTTTAAATAGATAATTAGATACTTGAGACTGGAAAGATCTAGCTGTAAACATAATGTTTTTGATGAAGTTGTTCCAGCTTTTTATTGGTATACATGCAGTATGTTTTATTTGCCATCACTGCTTTAGAATGTTTCCCCTGGTCTATGAGGATCTATTTTCAAGCTTTGCCTCTGTATAATGACTATTGAGATGGTGTGTTCTACAATAGTCATTCCACCTGAGATGATTGCTTTCTCTTATGCATTTCTATTTTTGAAATATGGTCTTTGTATGTAGCCTAGGGTGGGCTTGAACTTGTGATTCACCTCCTGTCTTTCAAGAGCTAAGATAACTGCTTTCCAAAGGCATTTTCTACCTGTAAAGGGTCATCCTCCAAGACAATTGTGATCAAGAAAGAACTCCCCTGTCTCCCTTACCTCTGTTTCTTGTTGTTTCACTTCTGGCCAGGGTCACTAGATACAAGAAGCAGAGATTCAAGATGCTCAGTTTGAATGGAAATTGAAATAATCAGGAAATAGCTTTTCCATATTTAGTATTACAGATCATCCAATGGATGTTTTATGCTAAAACAAACTTCATTGTTGAGTTCAAATTTTAACTTAGCATCTTGTACTTTAAAATTTTTTAAATTGTTATTATAAAGGTGATATACAGAGGGGTTACAGTTACTAAGTCAGGTAAACAGTACATATTTTGATGTTACCCCTTCCTTAGCTCTCTCCCAGTTTTTCTCTCCCATCCTCCCCCCCCCCCCCCCACAAGTTGGATAGTTCATTTTCAACTTAGGGTCTAGTGAGTACCATTCCTACATTTGTTCACCCTTCGTCCCTCTATTTCTGTGCCCCCTCATGCTCTCCCAAAGACAGCTAAATGAACAAACAAGACAAAAAGAAAAGAAAACAACAACAACAACAACAAAGAACACCCTCTTGTTTCCCATTTCCTGGACTTCAGTTTGATAAATATTATTTTATATGATCAG